GCGAAGACCCATGGGTAGTACGTTTGTAAAAGGGGATGGTTAGGAGACTTGTGACATTCTACGGTCAGTCTTGCCACTAGCATTTTCCCATAAGGTTTATTTTTATTGTGTAATTAGCGTAATATGATTTGTTTTTTCATTCTGTTGTTTATAGATCAACCTTAAAACCCCAATGGTGGCGCCACTGCATTTGGTCGGGGGTACACGGTCCCTATTTTTCCTAACAGGAGGTTTTTGGGGTTTACGTGTCCGGCTTTGGCGCATGTGGGACGTTACTTTGACGTTACTTATCCACTTTGTTATAAGCTTATTGTCGCAAATAAAACATCTCTTGGGCCTGGCTGACCAACGTGTCCATGCCTCAACCTTTGAGTGTGTTCGGTTGTGTAGTGAAGGCAAAATGTGTAATTTGTCAGCCATGATCAGGTCATGATATTGAAAGGTAATCAAATAGTGTACTCGGGAAATTGTTAGAATTTTGACAAAACGCGCGTGAAATTATTTCCTAATTTCACTCCTCACCAATTGATTACCCATACTAATCCTTAACCCGATAAAATCCAACACCAGACTCAATTAGTAAATTAAGCTCTAAATTATCTACCATTATATTGATAAGCTTTATTTGGCAGCTGAATAATTCTAAAAAGGCAGTACTCCTTCAGATAATAAGTTCGCTAAGATTAACGTGCACTCTTGCCCCTGTGGTTATCAGGTTTATATCCGAAAACAAGCCCTCCCTAAAATAGGACCTGAGAAAAAGCACTCCCGAGAAAACGCCCTCCTGGAAAGGGCCTCCCGAGAAAAAGCCCTCACATAAAACAAGCCCTCCTGAAAACAAGGCCCCCCGGAAATAGGCCCCCGCGTGAAAAAGCCCTCCTGAAAGCAGGGCCTCCCGAGCACAACCCCTCCCTGAAAAAATTTTAACGGAGGGTGAATTAGCATGTCAGTGCCCAAACTCTTTCCCCTCAGTTTTATGACGTCACAGCGGTCACACAACCGCATAAATTTTGCATTATGCCTAACCACTGCCGATCGCTTATCACAGGATTTCGAATTAGTCGCAAAAATACGCCAATTATATATCACAGTTAGGTGATAAGAGAGTATATTCGAACTGTTTGACCCCGTACCGACTGACAATAGGCGCCAAACCGCAGATATCCAACTTAATACGATTTTTGTCAGTGTTTACACCGCAGACCTTCGATTAACAAGACCACCTTAAGATGTCGCTCCATGCGCGCGGTGATCGAGCGAATATCGACGATTCTCCAGCTGCGAGGAAAACGTTTTACTTCATTTGCGTGAGATAACCTATGTTTAATTCGATACTTGGCCCATTTTTGCGTTTTCGAACGCGCGTCTATAAATTCTGCCGCGGACAACCGTATTCCGCCGATTTCAAAAGCAAAAAGTGATATTCATTTTCTAGTCAGCGAAGAAAGAAAATACATTAAAAATTTAGTGCGCGTCACGGCAAAGATAATAGCTTTGTACTGTTTGGGCTTTATTGTTTAATTTGACACTTTTTTTTCCTTTTGGCCAATAATCCGGCTCGGATACTCAAAGAATAATCGCTTGGGTCTATTAAAATTTCTACCTCCCACTTACAACGGTTTCTGTACGTTTTTTCTCTGCTCAGAAGAAAGAAAAATTAACTCAAAACGACCTGAGTGTGAATCAAGAAAATTGCGACATTTGAAAAAGAAATCACTGGGAGAAAAAATCTAAAAGTTCCGCGTTACTGGATAAGAGTATTTGTTCCAGCTCAATTCTGAAGGGGAGTCTCAGTTTTAAACCCGCCAATGAAGTTGTTTTATCTATTCTGCCTACACGCTTTTCCGGTGATCTAGCAAGAGTGTCGAGAACAATGCGTTTCATTCCAAATTTATTTCATTTGTGTTTACATGGACAAATTTTAGCGACGCCCTCTGGCGCAACAGTATGTTGAAACGGCTGTAGAATCGTCTGTGTGTAGACTGAGTTTAGCGTGTTGAATTCAAGAACACACCGATAAAATGTAAATCTACCTCACTCCGATGGCCTTGCCTTTATTAAAAGGATTTCTTGTCCTTTGTTTATTACAGTGCTGGGTAAGTCAACTAGATCCAAACAACCTCTTACTTTACTATTCAATTCTCTTTAGATATTGATATTTTGGTAGAGAGAATTCTTCTTAAATCTAGTTTTAATATCTTCTTTTGTGATTCAGGTTGATTCCCACCGAAATTTTGGTCTTCCGTGGCGGCTTCCGAAGCATTTTAAGATCAGCGACGAAAAGCTTCATCGCAGAAAAGCGACACTACGCAAGAATTCAGTTGACCCGCATGAAAAATCCCTTGGATTTTCTTCACGGGGTAAAACGAATGAGAAATCTTATCGACTGGCAGAATTATTCAAGCTTAAACCCGACAAAAAAGCTGAATATGCGACGAACAGTTTCAAACTTCTACCGAGAGTTCATTATCATACGTCCAAAACGACAAGAAACAAGAATTCTGTGCGGACATCCTCAACAGCTGTTCAGTCGAGCGAAAGACTTAACAAGGACTATGTTTTCCAAGACATTGTTCACACTGACAGATTGAACTCATACGGTAGGTAAACTCCATTCGAGTTTATTGGATATGATTGATTTTTAACTTTAACCAACGAACATTTTAGCTGTGGTGTAAATTCGATTCTAATTCTCATTTTTCGCCAAGAAGCCTTATTTTATGGATAGTAAGCCTGCCAGTCGATATCAAAGTTATTTTCCCGCGAAAATCTGATATCGAGGATTTAATTTGCATTTGAACATTTTAATGGAGAATACGTGGGTTCATTGCATTCTTGCCTGAAGCGATTCAGAGAGAAAGCCGGACGCTGTTATTAGCGATATAAATATCTACCTGTCTGCTTTTCTGATGTATTCTTTTGTATGCAAAGCAAATGTTTCCTGCAGCTGATCTGCCTTTCAAAAGGGTTATTCAAAACACGACCAAAAACGAAGACATGCGTTTTGTGCACCACCCGGGAAAAACTAGGCGAATGGATTCTTTCTTTATTATGTAACCCGCCGCGCTGTGTGCGTTTTTAAAATCTGCCCCCCTCCCCTCCGAAAAAAAATGGTTGGTTCCACAAATTGTTTGCAGTTTTTTTGTTGGTAGATTGTAACATTAAAGTGCGGCGATTCATATGTTTTCATGCGCGTAATTTATTATAAATTCGTCGCTTTTGAGGATGCTATCAAGACAGAATTTGTTTTAGAAACTGGCCGAGCTGTAAGTAAAATCGAATCGGAATCAACTGAAATATTTTAGAGAGCTATCGCGAAAATTTATTGTAGACCAGAATAAGATTCCTTTCGCTGCATGTTTGAGAAATAAAACGTTGCAATCTGCTGTTAGCAGGTTTGAACGCATTGAAGTTTAATGGTGTTTGCGGACAAGTCATGTTGTGTGAGAAGAGATAAGGAAAAATTTTGGAAAGCGATAACAAAATAAAACAAAAAAATGTGCCTACTGATACGCTGACTGGCTTTCGCTCAATCACCAATATAGTTGTAACGTACTAAACTCCGTTCTGTCATCAGCT